AAGGGTTCTCCACCCAGTAGCCCCTGAAGGAGGTAAGTCGGCTGCTCCTCTATTAGGTTTCCTGCCAGAATAAGAATTTAATTAAGAAGGCGGAGGGCACCAGATATCATCTCCATCAAATATTGTTCCTCATGGAAACTATTCAACAACTTGCTCATTGATGTAATTACTGTAGCACGCATTTTGTAATTAGAAGACTTAAATGACGAAAATACTTAATTTAATGTTGGGTCTTTTCAGGTTCTCACTTGTGTTTTTTGTCTTAAGATGCAAAGCACAATGGACTTAAATACACTTTGAAGTAACTGAAGTCACAGCAGAAAACGTTGGAAGAGCATTTTGAAAAGTCCAAGCACTAGTCAAGAATTTCTGTGGGTTTTTTTTTTTTTCCTTTCCAAAAGATGTAGTAGGATTTTGTAGCATTGATTCCATGTAATTAGTGGAGCTCCATGGAACAACAAACTGAAACAAAAGCTAGGTTAGTATACATTAAGATACCTGTAGGTTTTTATCTTAATAGTTCAAGTAATTGAATTCTAAATTAGTTTATGTAGTCTTCAGAACAGTTTAATTAACTGATCCTACCTATCCTACCTTATTTTTAAAATGAATGCAGTGGCTTAACTTTTAAATAGAAGATAGAAGTTGTAGTAAATTGTTCAAATTTCTCCTAGAGCAGTAGTCCTATCCTCCCCAAAGGTAACAGGATAAATACTTCTATCCTCTGACTACAAAGGAAGCCTGTGTGACTAGTTTGGGCAGGACATCTAGTTTAAGGTAGCTGAAGTAAAATGAACTGAATCTTACTCTAAGAATGTATCCTACAGTGACTTTTAAAAAAAGTCCTGATAAAGGTGTAAGAGTACAAAAGTATCAGTAAGGTATTTTTGTTTGTTACACGATGGGATGGAAATCCATTGCACATTCAATATTGGAAATATTTCAGACATGGTTATAAGAGAAGATTGATAATGTTGGTGGAAAAAAGGCCCCTTTAATAACTGCAGTGGATCAGTCGCACACCTTTATTTCATTCTGTTGGGCTGGATAAAAAGCAGGCATGAACATGACCTGTGGATGGCATATTATCATAACCCATGGGCTATGCTGTAATACACACTGTTTTATAAACTCCTGGAATGGGTTCATGGAACCTTTTGAAGTAGGTGATTACTCAGAGTCGTCATTAACTTTCTAGCTGCTTACCAAAAATATAGCATTTAATAAGGAGAGTGCCCTAGTTCTACATGTCTAGCCTTTACCCTTTCCAAAAGGGAAATTGATATATCTCTTCTCTTTTTTTTTTTTTTTTTCTTCATCTGAAGAAATCATTCGGCATTGGAAATAACACAAGAAATCAAGTAATTTTGCGTTTATAGCTAATTTTCTTCAATTGGAGTTTTATGTTAAAAAGTGAGCCATTTAGTTTTAAATACATTTACATTGATGCGTTTATGTTTTATTGATCATAGAACTTTTTAAAGGATTATTAGCCTATGTATTCTGGGGCTTTTTGAATGTTTTGTTGCCTAGATTGTAATCTCCTCTGTATAAAGCAGGAAGAGTTTTTTAGTGCAGACAGGTAGCTCCTCGTGAATTAGGGTAGAGGATGTGTCTTAATGTTTAAATATTTGTTTACAGGTAGCTAATTCCAGTTTCGTAAAATTAGTTGCTAGAACAGCATGGAATCAGAAAATGTACTGGAGTAATGTAATAGGTACTGGGTAATGGTGAAATATTGACAATTGGGACCTCCTGATCAGAAACTTTGTGTGAGGACTGATGAAAAAGTAGTGACACAGAATGATGACATGCCTGAGTTATTCATACTCTAGAGTGGGGAAGATCTGTACTGGTTAAAAAAAAAAAATCATTTTAAAGTTGAATATAGGCTTCAAACTTCACGAGGGAATAGCGGTGTTTGTGATCAGATTTCCTTAACTGCCACTTGCAATAGGAAAACAATCCTAGTTGCAGTATGCCTTTGAGAATGGTAGTCATCTTATATAACTTGTGCTATCTAAAAGTATATTCCTCATGTATTCCAGTGAAGGAAGAGAGAGTCATCGATGCCTTACCTGTCTTAGGCATCTGTCTTAAGATGGATTGACTCATCCTCTCTTTTTGTTTCCTTTTTTGGATACTGTCCTGTTGCCAGTATGTTTTTGCATTCTTTACTTCATCCTATTTGAGAGCCTCCACAAATGGAGGGATTGAGATGAGCAGTGTCTTTCCTTGGTCTTTCTATATCCTTCCCTTTTCTCTTTTGAAACGAATCAATGTGAAGTTTCTTGAGTATATTAGCAAAGACAACGAGGTCAGGCAAAATGTCTTATATTTGAACAGAGGGTACTGAGCTCTGCTTTAGGTGCAGGCTCTGAAACAAACTTTTGGTCTTGGACAGGTTGCTGAGAAGATGTTCTTTTCTCCTTGCTTACTTGTGATAAGAGAGTTTCGACAAACCTGATGAATGGGAACAGTGGATCATCCTGGAGGTGCAGACAAGCAGTTTTAGGTGCAGACCATTAAATGCAAGAGCATTTGATGTGAACAATGTAATCTGAGCAGTTGAGGAAGACATACTCTCCAAGTTAGACCTTATACAATGCATTAAAATAATTATTTTCTGATGGGAGAGGTAGAGATGTTCTTCAAGCTCACAGAAATTATTTTTGTTTGTAGCAGAAAAGCAACTTGGATTTTTCACTGAAATGATCTATTTAGAAAGTACTTAGATTTCTCAGTATGTGAAACCAATTCATCAAAAAGTTGCTCTCTCAAGTTGAAACTTGTAATCCCAACTTTGAAAATTTACTATACGATAAAGTAAAAAGTGACATGTTTTTCTGCTCAGACTTCTAAAAATGTAGGCTGTCTGGTTCAAATCTGGTTCAAAATGTGCTTTTAGTTTAGTGATTATGGTTATAATTAAGGGACTAGTTAGAAAAACTGTAGCTATAAAGTGTAAACACAGCAACCACAGTACTTTTCAGAGCAAACTGGAGAATCTGTATCCAAGCTGAATATTTTTACATGCATTACAATGAGATATGGTACAGTTGGTGTTTGCTTTAAAGAAAAGAAAAAAAAAGTTAATTATTCTTAAGAGTTTGCATTGTGCATCAAGACCCACAGGAAAATTGAAGACTGGAGACTTTTTTCATCTCTTCTAACTTTGCTGCTTCTACTTTAAACTAGTTGTGTAGGCTACCACTGAGGCTAGATTGCTCACCCATAGCAAATTCCGTTTGTTTTGGACACCTGTCTTAGGGTAGAGATAACCATCTTGTTAAAAGTAGCTTTTGAATGGCTGAATTACAGCTAACTTTGAGAACTTTATTTGTAGGTCTTGCTCCAAAAAGGGAGCTAACAACTTTCTCATCAGTTGTTCATAATGATCTAGATTATAGGCCACTGTTCACTACCTTTTTTAAGGTAAATGGACTGATTAAAAGCCAAATACTTTCTTTTTCCCCTCTCTTAGTTGGTCACTTTTTAACGTGCACATACAACTTCGACTTGGCTAAGGGAAAATAAGATGATGATCAGCACTTTCCTGAATAAAGAAACATAGTTTATTTCATCTGTGAAAAATCAGAAGATTATTACTTAGAGTGTGATAAAGAATCACAGTCAAAGATAAATAGTTCTGGAAAATTGTTAATGCCCCTTCACTTTTCTGTTTGGCTGTGTCAGAATTTCAGCCATTGACTGTAGGATAAGAACAAGCATCTGACAGCCCATGGATTTAAATGTAAAACATTTGTTATGCTACTTTATTGTTTATTTTCTAGTTCCTCTTTAAAACTCTGTTTTCTGTAGTACCTGCAAAAATCTTGACAACAGTCATATCACCAGAATTTTAAGAGCTTTGACTTTGGATAGGAGGACAAATAACATACAGGACTTTTCTCCTCTTTGATTTTCTCTGAGATCCGAAAGGGCAGAGTAAGTTGCTCACTGCTTCATCTATACATTCATCCATCATCAGTTCAAAAAATATGCCCAAATCTGTTGGAGAACAGTGTCTTTTCAGCTTGGTCCTGCTTGTCTTTCCACATTGCACCAGAGAGGTGATGAGATCATCCTTGGAGATACAGAGACTTTAGACAGAGCCTGAGAAACCTCATCAAAGTTGGCTCTGCTTTGAGCAAGGGTTGAACCAGATGACCTTCAGAGGTCTCTCCCAATTTAAATTGCTCTGTTACAGTCAAGGAAATAAAAAAAAGAGTATTTTTATTTCTGTGAAAGTAAGGCTGATACTTCTGATTTTCTCTGCTAAGAAAACGTAAGTAAACAGTCAACGCCAAACAGCATTAAAAAAGGAGTCCACCGTCACTGGAATGAGTCATAAAGCAAGTAACAATATGTAAATGAATAGCAATATAATTACAGATGATAATCTGCTATGTATATGCATTTAAAAATGTGCAAACAAATCTGTGAACAATGACATTGCATGTGGATGTAATTTGTCTACCTCTCAGGTTTTTGGCATATGGGAAGCTGAATTTTTTATGGTATTAAATGCGAGTCCCTATTATCATTCTGTTTGTGGCAAAAGTTTATAAATTGCGCTTTTACAAGTGTGACACTGCACTTGCCCACGTGGAAAATGATAAAATGTGATGTTACTTGTAATAAGGTAATTGTGGTTTTCTTTGAAGACCAGTAGAACAGCGCAGCTAATATGAGATATGAATACATTTTTTTACTGCTTGGTTTTCTCTCCTCCTGACCCTATTTATGCATCATTTCAGTTGGGATGATCAGTATATTGGATATATAGTATTTAGGTTGAAAAATCCTTCTTACAACAAAGGAAGTGCTCATTCTGGGATTTCTGGTGGTTGTTGGATTTTTTTTTTTTTTTTTTTAATTTTAACTGTGTGTCATTAGTAATATCAGATTTCTTCCATGATACTTCAGAAAATTCCAAACAATTTAAAGGATTTAAAAGGTAACTTCACTTCTGTTTTTTGTTTGTTTTCTCCTTACAGGCCTGGCAGCTGCGATTCAGTCATCTTGTGGGCTACGGTGCTAAATACTACTCCTACCTCATGTCTAGGGCTGTTGCCTCCATGGTGTGGAAACAGTGTTTTGCTCGGGACCCGTTTGATAGGTAAAACCAAAGAAAATATTAAAATTAAAATACAGATTGAAATATCATGCTGCTTGCTTCTGGAAGACATGAGACAAATAGGGCCCTGTAGGTTTGATGGGGTTTTTTAAATTATAATTAATTTTTAGCCTTTTTCTTGATATTAAGAGGATTACAAAACAGGAAATAACCACAGATAGGAAGTGTACTTTGGGACATGTTCATTGGTGCAAAAAAATTTGTGTTGATATTTTAAAATACAGGTGTGCCAGTTGGGAGGCACTGAAATCCGTATTTAGATGTAATTAGAGAACTTGATTTTCATAGATGCCTAATTACTTGTGATTTTCTATAGAAATGAAAGCAACTGCAGATATTAAACAAACTTCATGTCACCAACTTCAAAGCTAAGTATAGCTATCCTACTGATTTTGCTTCGTGAAATTAGAAAGTAAATTGTGAGATCACAAATTATAAGTGTTCTTATACCTTAGGAGAATGTTCAGAGCATTGTAACAGAGCAACTTTTCCCCTTGGCGCAATGAAGGCTGAAATGTTGTTCCAAATTAACTTCTATAAACAAGCAACACATATTCATATGTATAAAATTTGTCTCATTCAGTTACTCATTGTATAATTTTAAATGTAATTTGAATCTGAGGATTCCACATGGAATCAAGGTAGTCATTGTTCCAGGGTGGAAAATTTTATTTGATCTCTGTCTCTGAGTTCTGTAGAGATCCTAGAAGGAAATCTGACTGAAAGCTGAACAGGTTATGTTTGCAGATGGCTCTGACATCTGTGTTTCTCCAGGGCAATGGGTGAGCGTTATCGTAGAGAGATGCTGGCACACGGCGGTGGAAAAGAGCCCATACTTATGGTTCAAGGTAGAAAAAACTTAGAACACTTTTATTCCCTTGCTCAAGGAAGAAATAATTTAACTGCATTTCCTAATTTGGTCTTTTTAGTTTAATTGTGATTTTTGTTGGATTTATGAAAGAAAATTTATTTGTTCATTTATTTAGTTAAGTGGACTGGTCATCAACTTTGCGTCATGCTCGGTGTAACTCCTTGTGACACACAGAATAAAAACACACACAGATAGTTGGGGTGAAGTGTTGGAAGGGGTTGTATTACAAGGCTGTCTAAAGAATTCGGGATAAGACTATCACATACTTGAAGGAAGATAGATGACAATGTTATTGGATACAAAAATTTAGTAACTTTTACATACATGGAATTCATAATAGATGTGGTTATTCTGTATACAAGAGTTTGAACGTGTTTTGGCCACATTTTAGCATCATCAAAATAAATAGCTTTGGTTATATCAGTACTTCAAGTTATATCAGTACATTCTCATGAAATGGAAGTCTGAAGACTAATAAAGAAACATCATTCATTATTCCTCTCAATACCACATTTGCCTTTTGAATCTGACATTTAAAAATCATTCATAGTGATAGCAAAAATACTATACTTCATATATTAAAAAAAATAATGTCAGAAGAATGAAACAAGTTTGAGAAACTGCTGACTATCTCAGATCTATCAGTGAGATCAGGATGAACACTTTCCTCTGTAATCCTGCAGTATTGAAACGAAAAATTTTTGCATGAGTGTCTCTATTCCTTGTTATGAGCACTTGGTAAGTACTTCATCTGATGGGGTATCTTTCAATTCTCTCTGAAATTCTTAATATTAGGATGAGTACTAATTCATTGGCCTCTGTTCACTCCGGTTTGGTAGACTGGAAGTCTAGATAAGGAAGACAGTGGTAATGTGTCTGTATTTCATCATGAGATTGGCACAGTTTCATAACTAGAACATTTCAGTTCTTTGACCCATCTGTTTATATTTGAGGCCATAACCTGTACTCTCCTTAGGCTCATCATATATTAAGCAACTGTATATTCTTTAGATTAATCTATTTATATTTCTGATCTGCAGGGTTACTTTTTATTTGGCATGACTTTGCAAGCTTGCCTTTCTTTACTGTTCTTGAAGAGTCTGTGTTTGTAACCTCAAAAAACTGTAGCCCAAAGTTGTGGATTAAGTAGCTGCAAGACAGGAACGTACATCTTTACAAGCAAATCCAATTATTGTCTTGTAAGTCATATGGTAGAGAAAGAAAGAATGTTTTTAAACACCAGTTATGCTTATCATCTCTTGTATTTCTGGGATGTATTTTTAATTTTACTGAGCATGGAATCTTCCTGGAATGTCCTAGAGGCTATGTTGAAGTTGCTGGCAGTGTGCTCCCTTGAATCCAAGTATTATTTGAATGAAGTTTGCAAAATTAATCTGTAGATGGACTTACATAAAATCTATGGAAGTACAACTGGCTTTCCCCCTTACATGTGAAAGAACACAGTGGAACATAGTACAATCAGTTTGGGGTTGAAAATATACATCAGCTATTTTGGATAGAACTTGCTACTGAAATTAATCTGAAGAAGTGACACCATAGTCCAGGAAATACCAAGTTTATTTTAAGTTTAAAGGAAATGCAAATATGATGAAGTCTGGAAAGGCACCGTGAAAGCTCACAAAGGAGTTTAACTCTTGTAATGCAGTAGTTAAGTGTTTTAGGCATTTCAATATTCATAGTCTTCCTGCTTATAGTCCTCAATTCATTTAGTGCAGATAGTTCATCCATGAGTCATCAGGACGGATGGTGAATGATGAAGAGGGGATAGCTGTGCAGCCTAGGATTTGAAGAAGAGAGCAAGCTATGTTTAAGGAATAGTTGTGCATACTGCAGGGCAGTGAACTTGATGCTAATGGTAGAAATGGGATCTTTTATGATGTGACCAAAAAATCTGTGCAGTTTGATTTTTATTTTTTTTTTCTATTAATCAGTAAATCTGTAAACCACTAAACAGAACTGTGGGTCCTTTTAAGGTCAGTAACTGTAGTGCACCTGCTTGTGTGTTTGTTCACGTGTAATAGGAGAACCAGACAGCAGTAACTCCTCTGTGTCAGCATTAGCATGGGTGATACTGGTGATAAGAGCACAGACTATGATTTACAAAAAATGACAGAAGTTTTCAAAGTGTTTCCACAGAATTACAGGATCATAGGATAGTTGAGGTGAGAAGGGACCTCTGGAGGTCATCTGGTCCAACCCCACTGTTCAAACAGGGCCACCTAGAGCTGATTGCACAGAACCGTGTCCAGATGGCTTTTAAACATCTCCAAGGAGGGAGACTCCACAATCTGTAGGGGCAACCTGTGCCAGTGCTTGTTCACCCTCACAGGGTAAAAGTGTTTCCTGATGTTCAGAGGGAACGTCCTGTGTCTCAGTTGGTGCCCATTGCCTCTGGTCCTGTCAGTGGGCACCACTGAGAAGAGCCTGGTTCTGTCCTCTTTGCACCCTCCCTTCAGGTATTTGTACTCATTATAACAAGATGCCCCTGAGCCTTCCCTTCTGTAGGCTGAACAGCTCTCTGAGCCTTTCATCATAGGAGAGATGCTCCAGTCCCTCAGTCATCTTGGTGGGCCTCTGTTATATGTCCATGCCTCTCTTTGTCCTGAGGAGCCCAGCCCTGGACACAGCATTCCAGGTGTGGCCTCACCAGTGCTGAGCAGAGGGGGAAGATCACCTCCCTCAGCCTGCTGGCAATGCCTTGCTGGATGCAGCCCAGGATGCCATTCCCTTTCTTTGCTGCAAGGGCCCATTGCTGGCTCATGTTCAACTTGCTGTCCACCAGGGCCCTCATGTCTTTTTGGACAAGCAGCTTCCCTGCTGTGTGGCCCCCAGCATATGTTGGTGCCTGGGGTTGTTCCTCCAAAGGTGCAGGACTTTGTACTTCTCTTTTTTGAGCTCTGCCCTATCATCCAGATCATTAATGCAGATGTTAAACAGGACTGGACCCAGTATTGACCCCCATGTACCTTCCAACTAGACTTTGTGGTACTGATCATCTCCATCTGGGCCTGGCCATACAGCCAGTTTTTAATCCACCTCCCTGTCTGCTCATCCAGCCCATACATCAACAGCTTCTCTGTGAGGACCTTGTGGGAGACAGCGTCAGAAACCTTGCTGAAGTCTGGGTAGACAATAGCCATGGCTCTCCCCTCATGTACCAGGCCAGTTGTTTCGTCATATAAGGTTGTCAGGTGGGTTAAGCATGACTTGCCCTCAGTGAATCCATGGTGAGTATTCCTGATGATTTTTTTATTTTCATGAGCCTGGAAATGGTTTCCAGGATTAGCTGCTCCACCACCTTCCTAGGGATTGAGGTGAGACTGACCAGCTTGTAGTTCCCTGGGTTCTCCTTCTTGCCCTTCTTGAAGACAGGAGTGACATTTGCTTTTTTCCACACTTTTGGCACTTCTCCCACTGGCCATGGTTGATCAAAGGTTACCGAGAGTCACCTTGCAATGCCATCTGCCAGCTCCCTCAGCACTCATGGGTGCATCCCATCAGGGTCTGTGGGCTTATGTATGTCCAGTTTGCTTAAATCTGATCCTCTTCTATCAAGGGGAGATCTTCCTTGCTTCAGATTATCTCACTTTTGTATTCTGAATTTCGCTTTTATACTCTGTATTTCTTTACTATCCCTTTAAACAGAACTTTTAAAAGATACTCAGGATCATAAAAATAACCAGAATTCATCAGCAGATTCCTTGTCTGTGCATATTGTAGACAGTGCAAAGCTTAAACAAGCATGCTTGAATGACTTCCTGAAAAATGAAATTGAGGTGACTTAGGTCTTTTGTCAAGTTAATAGTTTGATTGCTTGTTTGGGATTGTTTGAGGTTAAATCATAGAACACACGTGATGGAAAAGGTTATTATATGTTTATACTTATACTCTGTATTTGTTACAAGAATTGAGAATTTAAGGAGAAAAGTAAGAACAGTTACTTGTTCTTTAATTCATTTAGGTTCAATCAACTTCTGACTCCATTTGTTGTGTGTTTTCCTTTTCATTATGGATTTTTTAGAATACTTAATTTCCATCTAATGTTCGTTTTCATCAGTTGCAAAACTGTGCTCCCATAGCAGATGACCAAACAGATTCCTGATTAAAGACATATTCCACCGAAGTAAAAGCTTGTTGATTTTACTCTTCTTCAGGGAAACAGTCCAGATTTTGTGCTCACTAGTGCCATATTTCAAAAACCTTAAGTTCTGTAGGTTGTTATTTCAGGCATTTTTTTTTTATCAAGAAATGCGCTTCTACAAGTCTGACTTTTGGATGCATGTATGTAGCCTCACCCTTGATGTTCTTCCGTACCTCATTGTGAAGTTAGCCATAGTCATTGACTGTTTGATAACAGATAACTTTGCAAGCGTATTTCATTTATACAGTTTCTTTGTTATGATTTTCTTCTCAGAAGCTATTTATTGTCTTTCTTTTGTGTTTGGATATGACCGTAGCTTTTCATCTTTCTCCCACATGATTCCATAGATGGACTGATTAGGAAAGATAAAGGATCTGACCTGCCATCCAGTGGAGTTACTGACAAGATTCCTGTTTCAACTAGTCTTAATTAGAAAACACAATATGCTTTTTTGTTGTTTGGATTTGATTCTCTTGGCATTTGTTTCCATTTAAAAAAAAAAACAAAACAAAACAACAACCCCCCCACACACAAAGGCTTCATGAAACCTTTTTTAACATTTTCTGAAGTGATCCCTTTTATCTCACCCCTTTGATAATCTACAAAATACGGAAATAGTCACAAATATGGATAGCAGGAACAATTAAAAAATGAGTGAACAATGCTTTGTCCAAGAGGCTTGCTTTTTTTTTTTCCTTTAAAGAGGAAATACAGTTTGAGAAGGACTTGATTCCTCTGTCATTTTGGGTTGGCCACGTGTCTCTTACAGACCCTCTCCTTCCCAGGACCACATAGCATTTAGGATTCCAGATTCTTTTAAAGATATGTAACCCAGGTGTCCCTTCCAGGTCCAGTTGTGTGCTGGTTGCAGGTCTGAACAAGATTCAGGTGTGCACCATCCCTCCCTCTCTCCCTTGGCACTCCCTGACTGGAAAGAAACCCAGGTGCCTAGGCAGAAAGTGAATTGCAGTGTGAAAAGTACTGGGTTGGATGATCTGGGAACTGAGAGCATGGAATATACCCTGGAGTGTGCTTCTCCTACAGTTTTGATGCAGTCACGTTGCCCTTTGGGTCTCTGAAGAAATCCTCGTGCAAAATACACGTGCAGTTGTGTTCTTGATTTGTTAATGCTGTACTATATGCAGGCAGTCATACTCAGCTGTGAGCACACATGGTAATCAAACCAACTGAGTGTGTAAGTAAACATGCATTTGCTCCAATGCAGTTTGAAAATTTGTTTTTCTGTGCCTCAGATTTTACTTTGTGGAATAATTATGATTTGAAGAGGCTGTAAAAATCTTCAGATAATGATTGTCTGTCTCTTTGAAAATATAAGAAATACGCATAAATCCTGAAAGGTGACGTGAATGGCAACATATGTTAACTCAAACTACATGGACCCAAAATAATTAGTGTTGCAAAGGGGCAGAGGCCAAATTTTGCCACAGGCTTTATTCTTCTCCCAATTTTCGGTGATTGTAGGTTATAGCTAACCAGCTCTCAAAAGGGTGTGGTTAACCACAGTGCTGTAATGTGAAAGAAAACTTCAAAGCAGAGAAGATAAGCTATGCAGTTGCCTTAGGCTTGGGAGAGACTGAGCTGAAATAGGAGTTGGGCTGAACATATGAAATACACTCCTAGATTTTAAAACTGCAACCATCAGACCTTGTGGACATCTTACTAAATCATTTAGACTGAAGTGCTGAGTACTTACAGTGTATCAAAGCTGCTCTCGCTTTGATATATTTAATAGAGTTTAAAGTGAGACGTGACCATTCTTAACGTATCTGTAGAGTAAGAGGTTAAAACACAGAAATACCATCAGTGTCTGTTTCTTTTGGAGTTGTCTACTCTGAAATCTGTAGTTACTTATTTCATAAGGGCATGATCATTTTACTGCATTAGGAGTTCTTCAGCAATGACCTCAGTTACTCTTCATCCTTCCCTTGCAAAAGCAAATTCTGCTAGCATCTGCTTTTGATGTCAGCGATATACCACTAATGCAAGAAATCTGAAATCCGTTTGTATTATCAAAAGTTGGAACTACTGGGTAGGTCATTTCACAGCACCACTGACAGAATGATTTTGAATTCTCCTACATATTTAAAACAAACCATGTGGAGTCTAAATGAATGCAATTTGCAGCAAGTTTTTGAGTGAGATTTGGTAAGACTGTGTTCAGCTGCGCTAAAATACATCCAAGTGTACTGTAGTTAATTATGTTTCTTTTCTTCATTTTGTAATATCCAGAGTTGGAATGCTTTTGTTATGATTTGCCATTTTTGCGTAAGAGGGAAATTAAATTACTTGAAGATAATCCCAGCATTAGTCTCTTCTCTTCCCCCTGTTAGCTTTTCCTCTTTTGCAACATATTGATAATCATGGTTTTAAGAATTGTCCACAGCAGAATAAAGTCTAGAGTGTCAAAAGAATTGGCTAAACACCATCTGGGCTGGCTGGTTTTTGTACAGTCAGTACTGGAAGAGAGTTTTTGTATTTTGAGGCTTGGGAGTGGTGGCTATGTCTATTATGGCCATCTTTATATACTGTCTATGCAGCATTACAGTCATCCCTCCATATTGATACCTGATAGAAAAGGGCCTGTTGGCTATAGAAAAATGATTCTTTTATAGAGCCACATCTTAAAAACAGGACGGAAGGAATAATTTCACCATCTTGAGATTTTTATACCTGAGATAGTCATCCAGGTTTCCTTTCTGAGATACAGGGAAAAGTAGGTGCTTCATAGGCACAACTCACCTCGTCATAAAGGAGACCTCTGAAAAAGGTCAGATGACTGGCACCCATGAAGGTCTTCCTACTGTTCAGTCTCTAGAAATAGAGCCAGTTAGTTCAGATGTAAATGTCTGAGGCAAAATGAGGCCAAAAAAGACAAAATGAATTGTACAGTTGGGACTGGACTGCTCCAGCTGAGTCTAAGAAGAAGCTCCAGTAGTCATGCATGAAAGTCCATGTTCCAGGGGGCTGCCATCCATGTCACCTTCTTAAGGCTTTCTCTGCAGTTCTGAGAAAACTGCAGGAAAATAATATGAGTTTGAATTGGAATTTTTCCAAGGCTGTTAGGGAGCAAATACACATGTCCCTCAGCCAGCCCACTCAGGAACCTGAGAGAGGGAGTGTGCAAGAGGCCATGGCTCTCTGGGGAGGTTAGATTAGTGGCTGGTATCTGGGCACATCTGTTTCTCAGCCCGGTATGTAGCCAGCCATTTTTCATTGTGAACCAGAAGTAATTCCACAGCAATTTTACTAACATTACAGTAATGACAAGTTTACCAAGTATTTGGAAATATTAATTCTCTTCTCTTTCATTTTGAAAGTAGCTTGATGCAAACTTCATTTAACAGCATTTCATAGGTGCTATATATATAACAAGATTTGTTTTCCTTTAAGTGCTCACTATTAATCTACTGGGTCATGGCACTTTGTATTGACACTTGCAACATGGGTTTAAATCGGATTGAAATGGGATTCTGTGAGGCCTTAGCAAGAAAATTCTTTTTGCTTGCTCACACAAAATTACCTCGAGCCAATCTGTTTCCTGGTGGGTTCTGAATTGTTGTGATATAGTAAAAGATTCCGGTCTTTTAGCAGCATGCAATTATAATTTCCACTGAAAGCAAATATTGTTGAGGATGTGAAAGAATATAAAATCATGTTCAGTAGGTACGCCAATCAGAAAGGGTAGAACAAGGTTATATTTACATTGGCAGTTGTCAGAAAGAACAGATCACTTCAAAGGAGTACAAAGATTAAATTTTACATTATTTGGCAGCTGTACTGTTTTTTTTTCTGGTACAAGTAATGTGGTAGATTTCCTTATATAGTCTTGAAAATGTTAATAACAGTGAAAAGACCAACACTAATGTAATGTTCAGTACAAGGAAACATCTGAAAATAATTTACAGGATATATTCTCATGCTTTCTAAAAACTGGGATTCTGGGGAGGGAGGTGTGAGATTTTTAGCCGCTCTGTTTGTAGAATTACCTGACAAAGTACTTGAGCATGATTCTTCATTATGCTAATTTCTCTGTCTCTTATTCTGTAGCCATATGGCACTAGTTGCACTAATTAAAATTCTTAGTAAAAGGTAAGTCTCGGTACCGTAAGAAAGCAAAAGTAAAACTGCAGTGCACTGAAAATGGTTTTGTTTGACTATATTTCATGCCTTTTGAAGAATTTCAGAGATATTTGTACTTTAAATACCAAATTAAATGTTTTTAAGGTGTGTAACCCTTTGAGAAAGTATGTTGTTTTCTCAGGCTCTGTCAGACCCGAAACTCAGCAGATAAGGATTTAGATACCCGCTCAATCACTGATTTATTCTAGTCGTTTGGAAATGACTGAGTCCATGGTTACATTGCTTTAAAATGGATGTAATTCCCTGCTTAAGTAAGATTGTAATGATAAAAATCAGTTAACAATCTTGAAACCTGTCAATTCTGTGATAACATTTAACAGGTAGCTTGAAGAAATTAAATAATCCCTATACATTACAACTGCATTTATTTCTTGACAAAGAAACATGATAGCCGTTTCTGTCATATTGTGACATTAAAAGTTAGTCAGCAATAAGCATTATTATTGACAAAGCTTTCAAGGTCATAGTATTCTTGTTAAGAGTCTGTTGTCTTGGTTTTGTAGGTATGCTTCAGAAATCACCTTCAGTTGAAGATTTTGTGGATGCCCTTGTTTCAGACTTAGACCAGGACTTCGAGTCATTTATCATGGACTCATAAAAATGTTCAACAGAACTGAATTCTTTTGTGGAAGGTTGCATATATCTTCATAATTGTGGATAAAATATTGTCGTGCCTGGTTTTGGTTCTTGGTGAACAATTGTAAAAGTTTGAATGTTCATGTTGGTGGAACAGTAATAAATAATTTCATTGGATCACCTGGTTTCATTTATGAAGGTGATGGCTTTCCATTGCATAGAAGCTTAAGCTTGGAATTTGAGAGAAAAAATGTAGCATGTACTGTTAGAAAATTTGATCTTGTTGGAACAGCTGATTAAATGGGAATTGGACTCATCTTCAGGGTGAGTGGAGTGGTATGAATGGCCTTTTGGTATGCACGTTGGATTCAGTAGTATGTTGAGTGTCATGACCCAGTTTGCATGGGTCTTTCTCACATGCTCATGGATATTCTTTAAACTTGTTTGACCCTATTCCTTGCAGGAGTTCTGCATTGGGGAGAAGCAAATTCTGTTTGTATTGGAGGGGAAATTGGAAAGAAAGATGATGTGGAAAACTAGGAACTGTATTTGAGATAGGGAACAAAAAGATCGGAGAAGAAAAACTGTAGTCATACAGGTACATGATGGAAAATGTTAGGATGTGGAGGAAAGTGTTATCTTGCAACACAAAAAAAGAGAGACAAAGGAGTAAAATATATACTCCACAAATGTTTCCTAGTGGAGGAAACTACTTTTCCATGGAAAGTAGCCATGATTTTGTAGCTGTGAAGATCCAACGGGTATATGTGTGGCCATGTTTGTAAGTAAAAATAGTATCTTTTGTTATATGAAGCCGTTGAGCAGGTCTTTTTCAGGTTTGGAACAGAATAGCAAACTTTAAAGCTAAGTAAATCCAAAAGATGGACCGTTCATTGTATCAGGTGCCTAAAATGTTTGGGAGGAGGAATGGAATTTACAAGGTGCCGTAAAACTGGTCTTGCTGTTGAATTAGTAGTTTTTAAAATATCCAACAGAGTTAGAATTTTAGTTCCTAGGCTTATCTTTTGCAGATCTTCCGCTGGTTTTCAGTGTTCAGGGCTCAGCAGTTGTTTTCTGAGGAGTATTCTGTTAACTGGGTCCTTGTGTCCTTTTATCTGTTATCTAGGTGTGTTTGTTTTATTGTATAGTGGTGGTTTAGTTTTGCCCACATTACTGTAAGGGCTTTACTGGATGAAGTCTGTCATGTTTCAGTCAAATGTGTTGATAGTGGGCATGGTGGTGTTGGGTTGATGGTTGGACTTGATGATCTTAGAGGTCTTTTCCAACCTAATGATTCTATGATTCTGTATGGTTTTGCAGGCATTTTGATGATTCCATTGCAGAGAACCATTACTATGGAAATATGTCATCAATGTTGCTGCATGGGTATGACCTGAATCTGGTCCCTCTGTGTTTGTTCACGAGGAGTTTCCTTTTAATGATGAGTGGACAAGTGTTGGAGAATTGTTTAAAGTATAGGAGGGCAGGTTTTTGAGGGGACAAAATCGTTCAAAATGGAGATGTTTAAGGTTGCACATTATATAGTAGGTGATGAACAAGGGAAATATTATCAGTGGGGTTTTCTTTTTCTCTTGAAGTAAATTATGAAATGGTATTTGAGTGTCTATTTAAAAACAAAAGTGGTGATCTTTTCTCTAGGAATGGTCTTGTCTTTTAGAGATCTGTTGTTACAAAAGGTATTACAAGTGTCCTACTCAGCAGAAATGCAGTGAAAGAAGCAAGAGGGGAGGAGAACCAAGGCTGAGAGATGAGGGCAAATAGCTGGGAGAGAGGTAAGTGAAGAATAAAGATAAAAAAGCTCAACCAGCAAAAGTAGGTGTTTGGGAAAAGATAAGTAAGAGTGAGAGCTGATTGGATGATTGGCCTCTGTTTTTTTACAGAATTTGTGCTATCAGGTATCATTTGATATTTTTTCGCTTTGTCTGGTTTTGCGTGATGGGAATTTGTCATATATGAATAGCACTGCCATTGTATTAGAAGTAGGTTTAGACAATTTTAGATGTGAAATGTTTTGATTAAAGAACAGCAGGCATGTTTTCAGACTTGTGCCACATCAAGACTTCTGTGTTGTACGTCTGACTGACCACGTTCTGTATCCACAGTTGGTCCCTACGAGGATTCGCTTAACAAGCTAGGTGGGTATTTTGCTGTAAATTAAGTGATTAAAAAACCGACAAAAACTAAACAAATGTAAATGTAGGAGTGAGTAAAAACACATTGTGAATATGGGAAGTTCTCAAAAGGATACAATAGCTGATGAACGTAAATGTAACAACCCCTCGTAGAGCATTACGTGGAAGTGTGCTTTAAAGGGAATTCAAGGGTGTTGCTAAGGGAGCCTTGTGGTGTTTGTTGCCTGGTTTTTGTACTGGAGTAAACTACCAATAATGTTTATCTGGAGTTGCAACATGTTGAAAGATTTGTTGTGACAAAAAGAACTTAGCAGAAGGAAATCCTAGTGCTGACATGGCCTTGGGAGCACTACAGTAAAGAAAATAAAGCACCATAATTGGCAGAATAAGCAGAGCATTTGAAATGAAGAGATTGCCCTTAGATTTTAATTCGAAAGAAATTCAAGTGATGTTGATTCTACAGCATAGATACTTTATCAAAATATACATGGTAGTCATACCCTTTTATGCCTATGGCTGCTATTACTTCCTTAATTCACTGTCTCATTTGATCCTTCTGTAAACAACAGTCTTTTCAAGTTTTTATTAGAGTGGTGTCAAACAACACTCTCCTAATACTGAAATCAGATATAGGCAAAGGAAGAAAATCTGGTCTTCTGCCGAAGAACAGTGGGCTGTAGCTTATTGTCACAGATTCATAGCTCTTGGGACATTTGACAAAGATGGGAGCTGGTAGAAAAATAAATATAACTCAGAACCACAGCTTCAGGTTTTTTGTGAAGAAACTCTGTTGACTCCACTAATTTTTGTTTTATGAAATAACCTTTGAGGATTGAACAGTAGACGTGATTAAGCCTCTTGAGAATGTATTATATCACCACTACGATGCTTACTACAGAAAGGGAAATATTATTCTAAATTATTTTTTTTCTCTTTTTTGGTAGTTTCCAAAAATGCTTCCAGCTGTTCAAATGTCTGATGCTTTTTCCTTTCTTTTTTTCTTTTTGAGAGACTTTTATTTTCCAGCAAATATGTGTACTTTGAGTAATGTGAGACCTCTCTTGTGACCAGCAGTGTAACTCTTCGTAAATGTGAAAACCACTGTAATCCTCTTCCAGCATTCCATATTTTCCCACTGGGCCTGCT